AAAAGGAAATTCAAATATTCCAGTAGAAGATTGAGTATCTCATCGTTGACTTATGTGATGTAAAGATGCATCTTGTTATCCATTCAAATCATATCATTTATATCCATTTAAGTCACCACTTCAGCTCACATTACATGTAGCAAAACACATATTTTAAGAATTTCAATTAGTGGTATATTTTGAGAAAATAGAGTATATTGTTGGAATAAAAAAACTTAAAAACAAATTAGTGGTATATCTTTGAAAATATAAAGCATAGTATTAACTCAATAAATTGTAGGCCATCCCGCAGCCGTTTCACAGTGCTAGTCAAAACAAGCAATGTCTCAAACAAATATATCAAAGCAAAATATTCTGAAGTTCATGTGATATACACGGGATGACATGAATAGGTATTGTCACTTCATGTTTGTATAATTCACATACAAAAGATGAACTTACAACAGAGAGCTTTTGTTTCAAGCCCCAACGTAAGAGGTCTAAAAACCAAGGGGTAACCACCCCCCACCGCCCCCTCCGCACCAATGCCGTCCATATCCCGCACGGATTCCGACTCCGAGCCCGCCGCCCAGGGCACCGAGAAGAGACGAATCGTCACCAGAGCCAACCTGCAGCATCATCGCATTCTGCGCGCTGGCTTGGAGCCGGATTCGGTTTCGACCTATCTGCACCAACCATCGCCAAAGCACGCTGTAGATCCGATGTTCGGCATAAAAGACAGGAGAGCAAAGTGAGACCCATGTGATTTAGAAGACGTGGCCAAGAGAGCAAAGTGAGACCCATGTAATTTACAAACCGTATGCCACGTCGCATTCCAGATTATCGCATTCCAGATTATCCAGATGCTTACGCTGGATGGAATGCTCTTAGCAGTTTTGGCTCTTATATATCCTTGGTAAGATAGCAGCCAGTGAAAGAGTAGAACTCATTATCTCCATTCAACTCGATCTTATTCAGTTGGAGATTTCATCATCCTTAAAGTGCTCCAGCGGTCGATGTAAAAAAATCAGCTAAAGGTCCATTGCTTCCAAAAGAAAAGACCTTACCTTGAAAAAACATCGGGTTGTTTGCATTAGTTCAGCTGGGAAGCCAGTACGAATGCTTTCAGTGGTTCTCCTAGGTTAGAAAAGGGAGGTGGGCGGGATAAGAGAAGGAGCAAAGCGCAAGAGCTATCGGCAACACACGCGGACAGAGCCTCGGCCAGGTTCAGCCGGAAAACACACGCGGAGATGGATGCTCCTGCGGGTAGGCCGGCAACACACGCGGAGGATGATGTTAGCGCGGCTGCCGTTCACTTGACCCCATTCCCGGAACTTGATTCGTCCGGTCCAATTTCCACAGAATTTTCGCCATCCGGAGCCTCACTCAACGGCAACCGACTTTTAAAGGGTCGCAGGTCCTTTCCGGAAAAAAGAAAAAACATCGGAGATTTCCAACCAGTCAACGACCTTACAGTGGATATTTACCGATGCCCGCCGACAGGGTTTGGATGGTCAGCTCTCACTCTCTCTTATATAGTGGAGTGGTAGGGTTTGAGGAGCTGGAGCCAATTTCAAGTGGCGGAACATTCTGAAATTTTTAATTTTCCCTCTCCATTTTAATAACCACGAGTTTGATGGGGTAGTCTTCCTCTACAGGTCTTCTTATTTTCTTAATTAATTCCCTATATATAACCTATGGCCCAAAACTTTGCACCCCAGTTATATTCTTTTGGGTTGTTGCTAAAATAACAAGAGAAAGACATGGAGAAAGATATCTTCTTTTCTTCGGGTACATATAGAGATTACAAAGATAAGGATAATATCAAATCAAATATTTAATTACCAAAAATAACTATAGAAAATATCCTACCTAAATAAATAGTTTTCGTGCCTCGCACAGGTCACGTACTATATATCCCGTACATTTTTTTATTCATTTATATAATTACAAGGCTAGATAAATGACCTTAAAATTGTATACCCCGTGCATCGCACGGGATCTGTACTAGTCTAACTAAAAAAAAAATTATGCTTGATCACTTAAACATTCAAGGATTTTGACATTGTTCACCAAATGAAAAAGGCAATACAAGACTGTTGTTGCTCAGACACAAACTAAAACTGAAGTACAACCGTTTCTAGCCTCAAATTTGATCAAGATGGAGTTAGATAGCTACTAATCAACATTCAACGGTACACGAGATTTCTGAACGACTCGAAAACACAAATGTATTGCACTACCCAAAAACTATTATAGCACTATATATCAAACTCTTTCCAACTCAATGTTGTGTTTCTCTAGTTGGTCTTTCAACTCCATTCTCCATCCTTGAATTAATCTCTCTTGCTTATTGATTAGCTCAGTCTTCACTTTCAACTCTTCTTCCATGTTGGCAATCTCCTGAGAGAAAACCAAAAATCACTTATCAGCATCTAAATTAAAAAAAAAAAAAAAAAGGCTAGCTTAGAAGCATGTATCAGTGAGATTACTCTCGTGGGTTGTTCTTCTCGTTGCAACCCAATGAAAAAAAGCTGAAGCTTTTTGGCCGCCTCCATGAAATCTCTGGCGTGTCTCTCAACATCAACTAAAGCAATTAAGAAACTACGTTACTCAACCCAAATGTGAGGTACATTACATGATAATCCAAAAAGATATTACATGAATATGAGAGGGAGAAACTCAATAAATCAAGAAATAAAATGGATTTCCAGGCAGCAATCCCCAAATATAGTATAGCTTAAACAGATCAGGGAAGAGTCGTCCCATTCGGTGAAGACACTGGCCTTACCACAGTTTTTAGTGTTGGATCACATACACATTCTCACACACACCCACATGGCCTTACCGCGGTTTTTATTGTTGATCCAACAATAAGAAACTACCGTTAGGCACGAATTTTCCAAGATTTAGACAACAAAACTGTTAATTTGCAGCACATCCCACAGGCCACAACACAAAATTCAACATCTTCCTTAAGTTTATCACTCAAATAAATCGAAGAACAGCAAATCATCCATCATTATAACTGCTTTCGGAAACGAAGATGCTCGGCAGGTCAGCTAAATTCCACAGTTAAATACAAAATGCAATCAACAGCTCATATTAATCAAAACCCACTCATGATTTTCTAAGACCAGGAGATTCCAATTCATATTAAGTGGTCAGCTAAAATCAATACGGCCAAATCACAAATGTATTCAGCTGCTGCTTGCTCACATCAGCACATGAATAAAAACTTATGCTTTTCCACACACCTGGAGATTTCCAGTTCACATTCAGTGAAGAATCTATACTCAAAAACCTTTGCAGTAACTACGCTAATTCAAAGGATAAATTGGGGGAAAAAAAAAAGGTTACTCTGGTGAGACGGATGGGGAGAGCGGTCGATCGCCT